CCCTCCTCGCCTGTCAGGGGCCGGGCCCCGGGCTCCCCTTCCCGCTGCTCGGGGCCTGGCCAAGCAGGGCGGGGTGGGGGGTGCTGCGGGAGGAGCTTCAGGCGTCCTGGTCCTGCTGTCCTGCAAAAGTAGGGGAGCCTGGAAAAAGCGTCGACAAAGTAGAAGAAGTGGGTTAAGTGGGATACTGAGCTACGGTTACAAAGCAGCTGCGTTTGTAAACCTGTGCAGATCTTTTCAGCATGCGCTCGTTAATGTTTCATTGCTTTCTTGGTACACTTAACGTTTACAGAAAATGTTTCCCTCTAGGATATCTTGGAAGGATGCATAGCTCCTATTGAGCTGTCTCCTTATGCCGGCTGGGTCCTGGACACACTGATTGGGCAATCAGCCCAAGAAACCAAACCCTCCAAAAGTTCAACACCTAAAGATGCCACTCCCCTCACCAGTGAGTCATCCTCTCCGGAGGAGATCACTTCTACTAGCCCCCAGGGGTCGTCTCCACCGTCATCTACAAAGCCAAGTGAAGTAAAGGTAGCTCTGATTATAATCCATGTACTTGCTTGCTGCCATAAATTGTGTGATAGAGGTTGGCTTGTGCTCTGTTCATTTGTGGGGGGAAAAGTGCTTTGTTTCAGCTTCCTGGAGAATAAACAGATAGTGAAAAAAATTGGTAGCAAAAAGTTGGGGTTTTTTGTAGAATAATATTTCCTAGTAGGCCAAAAGCAAACTCCCATTTTCACCATAACTAAGGAAGATGTAGCTGGAGGTGTATAGTTTTATGGATTAGCAGCGTGGGATTCTTCTGATGGAGGGATAAGGTGACAGAACAGGGTCAGGGCTGTTGTAAGAATCTGTGAGTAACCCCCTTTGGGTTCTATTTTATGAGGCAAAAGGGTAGGAAGCTGGGCACTTAGCTGTTGAGTTGTGGAGGTAATGAAGTTACCTGAGAGGAAAACAAATGTCCTTTTTTAGGCATTAAATTTTGACGTCACCACATAACAATGCTACTGAGCAGCAAAGTTTTGCATCATCTTGGCCCCGTTGTGAGGAGGGCACCTTAGTGAAGCTGAGAAGCTTCTGTTCTAAAAGAACATGCACTGGTTCACTCTTTTGTCTGTTTCTCTACAAATAATGTGCTGTTTGGGAGGCTTGAATGACCTGCTTTCCCCCATGAGTTGCTGATACTGTGTTCAGTCACTGATTTTGTTTATATGCTGGCCAACAGGGAAATGAAGAGCTGGAAGAAGATCAAGAAGTCCTCCTAGCAGCTAAGCCATCTAGATATACACAGGTTGAAGGCTGCATTCGGATGTATCAAGAGATAAGCAGGATGAGAGCACAGGTAAAAAAAAAACCAACAAGAAAAAAAACAACAACAAAACAAACCAACACAAAACCAAACAAAAAACCCCAACACCACCAAAACCAAGCAGAAATAACTCCAGGGTGTATGTGAGTCACAGGAGAGCCACATAACCAAATATAACAGTGCTCTGGAGGGAGTGTCAGGACAGTAAATTGTCCTAAGCCTTGGAGAGTAGGGTTTAGGATAACCCCAAGTGAACCACGCTGGCAAACTTCGGGCAATTTAATTTCTATTTTCTTCTGTCCAAATTCTGTTTGTTACATTGTGGTGCTTCTGGCACCTCTGCAATCTGCAGGAGAGGCTGAGGCAGCGGAAGGAAGAGCAGGAGAAGATGGCCAAGGCAGCTTATGACCTGGCAAAAGAGCAGCTGAAGCGCTACGACGAGCTGAGGGAGCTGAAGCAGCGCCAGGAGTTACAGTACCTGCGAGAGCTGATGGAGAAGAGGTGAGATGAACTCTGGTATCCTTAAGATACTACAGCATTTAGTCAAAGCGAGGATTAATTCTTGCACGTGACAATTCTATCCTTGTTGTTTGTGCTTGAAAATCTCACCTGCTGCTTTTCTTACATGAACAATCCTTTCCTTGTCTTTCAGCGTAGATCTTTGGGCACTGTTGAGGTTTGTGTGGTTAGAAAAGGACTACTTTTGTCTCCTTTAGCTTGGCTTATTTCAAAAGTAACTTGCTGTGTGTTTGTGTTTTGTCTTGTGCACCTTTTGAATACAGTCTTCTGTCTTTATTTTTATCGTAGCTCAAAGGAGGCTCAAGGACAGCAAGAGAAGTTGAAGGAAGAGCATCGACACAGAGCAAAGGTCTGAGGCTTAGGAGATTTGTTTTTCATAAAAGACTGTCACTTCTGGTGGGAACTGGGAAGACAATTGATTCATTTGTATTTTCCTGGCACCTTTGGGGTGAGAATGTATTTTCTGGTGCTGTCCTAGACCCCTCCTGCATTGTTGTGGAAATGCAGTAAAGACGGGTGTTGTAGGAGCAGGAAGGACCTGTAACACTGGAGTTATTGAGGTATTTTGTGTCCCCTGTGTCTGTCTCTGCAGGTACTGAACCTGAAGCTGCGGGAGGCAGAGCAGCAGCGGCAGCGGCAGGAGGAGCAGGAGCGGCTGCGGAAGGAGGAGGGGCAGGAGAGGCTGCGGCGCCTCTATTCCATCCAGGAGGAAGTGCTGCAGCTTAACCAGCAGATTGATCCCAATTACAAACACAAAGACTTGCCAAGAATCGATCTTTCTGCCTACAGTAATCGTGGCAACCAGATCTGTGGGCTGGTGTCAGGACTCATCCGCAGCACGAGTGAGGTAGAGGCTCCAGAGCTGTCATTCCCCTGTAGAGCTGCCTGTGCTTGGCTTCAAAGGCTGTTCTGTAAAATGTCACAGAAATGTTTTCATATATTCATCCTACAAAGCACCTAATTTTAAGGAGAATTCTTTTCTATGACACTTCAGCTGTTCTTTTGGAAATAGCTTATAAAAATGCATGAGAACTTCCACAGGAGAGAGAGTGAATATTAAAATACTGTAAACTCTTGATGCTGTAAAGATCCTTTGTGAGACAGCCATGGAACAGAATGGTTCATGAATTGCTGAATACTGAACACGTTATGATTCTCCTATGCTCTGAAGCCTTTTGGCAGTAACTAGGTTTCCTTGGATTTTTTTTTTCCTCTATGTAAAGCTGGGGTAGCCTTACAGTGTTTTATTTTTCAAAGGTTTTAATTCTCCTTTCCAGCTTGTCACAGCTGGATTTCTGCAGAGGCAGCTGTGTGGGCTTTGCCCTGGGGTTCTCTTATAGTTGTTGAAGTGTGTTATTAATTTTTGTTGTCCAAGATCTCGTGAGATCTTGTCATGGACTAACATTATTTACAAACGTTACAACCAGTGTTATGCACAAATAAAGGAGAAAAAGATATTTTCACCAAAGAGGATAACATGTAGTTGGCTTGCAGATCACCTGAAGGCTAATGCTTCACAGGCTCCTTGCTCTGGCTGTTGGTGTACAGACAGTAGAACAAAGGATTGTTGCTATGTGATGCCCTCCATTTCTTGACAGAGAGGTTTCCCTACTCAAGCAGATGTGGCCAACACTGAACAAGCACTGCAGGAGATGCGAGGGTTGATATCCAGCATGGAGCAAGAAATTGCTGCAGCTGTGGAAGAAAAAAGGAGGAGAGATGAAGAGGAAAAGAGACAAAAGCAGCAGGAGTTACTGAAAAAAGAGCAGATGAAGGCTCAGACTCCTGCCCCTGCACAGCAGTCAGGGGGAAAGCAGCAAAAGGAAGGTTGGTGAAGCTTGTGGGGTTCTGTTGTTTTGTTTTTTTCTCCTCTTTTCCCTTTTTACACACTCTTTAACTGTTAGGCCAAATGCTACTTTAAAATCTAATCATTGTGACAACATACTCTCTCGTAGCCTTTACTTTGAGCACAAGTAGCAAAATGGATGTAGGATTGCTGGCAGCAAATTTTTGAAACAAAACTGATGCAGCATAAATTGACTGTATTAACTGGAGCAAAACCTGCCCTTCCTAGACAGTATGCCATATACTGGAGTATCAAGAGAGCAACACTGCACCTTTTTGTGACTGTAAATGAGTCATGCAGAATATCACAAAACATCCAAGGACAGACCACTGAAATGTTTTCCTTCTTGAGAGCAGGTGAAGTCCAGATGTCCTGCACACACAAACTACTAAGCTGAAGAAAGAGGACTCCTGTATAACTTATAGTTCACTTATAAATGTAACTTTCTAAACTAAATTCTGAGAAGAAGGTATTCATGAAGCTGTTAGTCCCTTGTAATTTTTTAAATTCTAATTTATTGATTTTTTCTTAGTCTTCTGCTTTTTCTTTTTTTTTTTCCCTAAACACCAGGACTTCAAGTTAAGGCAGATGAAGTTATCATGCAGTGGTACCAGCAGCTTCAGGACTCTGCTGAGCAATGTGTTGCTTCTTTCAGTGAAATCACCAACTGCGAAGGCAACAGTGAGGTATGAACAAAGGATTTCACAGCCTCTGTTAGAAGTATGTTCATCCAGACTATCATAGTAGTTTACTTCTCTGTAAAGGTTTTTAAAGTTGTGTGTTTGTTTGTTCTGTAGGTGAAGAAGATAAAAACAGGCTTGCAGAAAGCAGCTACGATTCCTGTGAGCCAGATAAGTAGAATATCAGGTGAGGAAAACACCAAGAATCTAATACAAATTGAAATGTCTTATAGTCCAGGTCTTTGCAGCAGAGTGTTTGGTTATGTTTTGAGATGTTGCTTCCCTCTGAGGCATCTTGCTTCATCATGATTGTTTCTTTAATCACACGTAGCAATCGTGCAGTTGGAGGTGCCTTGCCCTTCAAGATGCAGGCCCAGTTTCTGTGAAGATGTGATCTGGTTAAGACTTGTCTGCTGTTTCCTAATATCTCCATACATTCCTTACATATTTACAGGCTCTAAGCTGAGAGAGATATTTGACAAGATCAATAACCTGCTCTCTGGAAAGCCTGTTGAGAGTGGAAAGCAAACTGTGTCAGTGACTCAGCATCCACAGGGTCTGGATTTTGTTTATTACAAACTTGCGGAGAAATTTGTGGTGAGGAACTGTTCTCTTTATTGGGGTGGCAAAGGTAGCTGGTGCCTTAGAAAGTGCTTTTGGACACTGTCCTCTGTCTTCAGCTACTAAGGACAAAATTACTAGGTGTTTAGCTTGCATGTATTAATGTTCATACTGATTAGAGAAAGTGCTTTTTGGATTAAAAAAAAAAAAAAACAACCAAACAAACCAAGAAACTTAATTTCTCTTTCCTTCCACTGCTCTATTTTATCTCTTCTAGGAGGAAGAACTATTTTAAATTCTAGGCTTACATGTTACATATTTTGAACCAGTTAGCTACAGTGTTAGTAGAAGACAGCTTTATAGTTCATTTATGATCTATCACAAAAGTGTATATACACACAAAGCCATAGATCTTGGGGGAGTGGGAAAAAAAAAACTAAGGCCTGAGAGGGAATCTTCTGTCCCTGCTGGGTAGCAGCACTTCCCAAGAAATGAAGTGTCATTGTTTAAGTTGCTTTCTGAAATTGGGAGTATTTTTTTCTAGTCTTTATCTGCTGAATTTGGGCTGTTTGAAACTTTCTTTTGTCCTTCCACTAACATATATATGCAAAAATTAGCCCATGGAATAAAACTGTATTAAACTGATTTGTAAACATTTGAAAATAATTGTTTGGAGTGAAAATATCTGTACAGCCCTGCACTTTATGCCTGTATTTCCCAACTGCTTTTTTCTGTCCTGAACCAAAGTTTATTGTCATCCTTTGTGGGAGCTGAGGACAACAGGCTTTATTAGCTTGTCTCTGGTTGGCTACAAAGCCATAGAAACATTAGGATCCTTTACTGGGGGCTAGTTGCACAAAAAAAGAGGATTTTTTTTGTCTGAGAAATGGCTTGAAGGGGTGGGGACTGACTTTCCTTCCCTCCCTGCAGCGCCAAGGAGAAGAAGAAGTAGCTTCTAACCGTGTTGCAGCTTTCCCAATTGCTGTGGTGGCCTCAGGAATTTGGGAAATGCACCCTCGAGTTGGAGACCTCTTTTTAGCTCATCTACACAAAAACTGTCCCTATTCTGTGCCATTTTACCCTGCATGGAAAGAAGGCACTTCTATGGAAGAGTATCAAAGGTAAATGGATTTATTTGCCTGCAGGGGTGAAGGGTGGAGACTGTAGTCCTTCGAGGGAACTCCACTTCTGCCCAGCTCTGATTGTGGAGGCACTGTGAAGTGCTGGCGAATCTGGAGATTCACTCACAGTTGTGTAGCTCCCCTGTGTCCTTCAGCTTTGGAAGTGCTCTTTTGCTGCTTCCTCCTTGTCCTTCTCAAAGAACAGCTTGATTTGAGTTGAATATCATAGTATAAGCTTCATTCAGATGGAAATATCTATGACAGAACCTAAATACTCTACATGGTATAGAGCAGTGGAGTGTAGGATGCAGAGGGTAACAATCAGCCTTTTCAAGAATTCTTGGGTGGTTTTGGAGTGTCCCTGTTCTCAGTACAGTTAGAATTTAAAGTTAGCTGAGAACTGCAGGGACTCCAGTGACCCTGTTTTGCTGTACTTATCCTGGAATGTCTCCTCATACTTAGGATGCTTGGATATCAAGTTAAGGATTCTGTGGTGGAAGAGCAGAATAACTTTCTGAAGCGGATGTCGGGAATGATTCGTCTTTATGCTGCTATCATTCAGCTCCGCTGGCCGTACGGAGACAAACAAGGGGTAGGTGTGCATGGCATTGTAACTAGGCCTTGCTGCTGTCCCAAGAGCATGTTACAGGTATTGTCAACTTGATTTGGAGTTAAGGTGTGCTCGTCTTAAACCAGCTCATAGTATCAGAGCATAACCATAACCAACAAGGCAATGCAAAGTAATTTGTAGCGTAGACCTTTACTTCCTTTCTTTGTGTTTTTATAATGATCAAGTTTTATGTTAGCTTATTTTAAAACAACATTATAAGGGAGAAAGTAAATTGGGCAAGTGCCTGTTTTGATACTACCACTTTGCAAGTAGTATCAACAAATGGTTGGTGGTGTTTTGGTTGCTGTATAGCCACATCCTCATGGACTGAACTATGGATGGCGCTGGCTTGCTCAGATGTTGAATATGGAGCCTGTGGCAGATGTGACAGCTACACTTCTCTTTGATTTTCTGGAGGTAAGAGATATGGATTACTGGTGGTTAAAGGGGTCTAAATTGGTGATTGTTTCTGCAGGGATTGCTGAGGGTGAAGTGTATTGTGATTTTAACAGCAGTTCTTAACTTGTCTTTATTCCTTCAGAAAGGGATGTGACTATTTCCATGTTCTTGCAAATACAGCTTTTCTTGAATGGTTTAAAAACTGAAGTTTTTGTATATGCAGCTTCTGTTGTATTTGACTCTGCTAAAGGTTTTAAAAATAGTTGTATGGTCCTGTAAGAACCCAGTCTGCTAAGCACTTGGCATCAGTTCTTACAATGCAGTGAGGTCCTGTGCCCTTTCCAGCTGAATAAGTTCATAAAGAAGGATGGGGTTTTTCAGCCTGGAAAGGACAGAGCCTGATGTATATTAATATCCTAGGATATAGGGCTGTGCTAAACAAGAGCCAGAGTTAAAGGATGAATTCAGGGCAGACAAATGCTATTGCACACAAGCAGTTTCTGTCCTGATCAAATGCCTTCTACAGAACTTCAGAAGCAGAAAGGAAAAGTGCAGAGTGAGATACGCTGTGGGGACTGATAGTGGTGAAGTCTGAGGAACATTCACTGTGTAAAATGCCTGTATAAAGAACCACACTGCAGTAGTCAAGATGGGGAAATGAGCACAGCATGCCCTAGAAAGGCATTGGGGAAGGATGTTCTTTTTGGAGGGAGACTGGAGTGAGAGCAGTACTAGCCAAAGATTGGTATCAGTGGCCACCACACAGTCAAGAAGGAAAAAAGATGCTTGTGATAGCAGTAATGGCTTTTAGAGGATTTGCTGGTTTTATTGTAGGGGTAGGTGTATTTCTGGAAATATCTGGATAAAATACAAAGTGGTTGATATTGAGCGGGTTCACCAAAGTTGTTGCTAGTCTGAAACTCACTTCTGCAACCTTCTCTTTGTACCACAGGTGTGTGGCAATGCTCTTGTGAGACAGTATCAGATTCAGTTCTGGAAAAAGATGTGGCTTCTGCAAGAGGACTATATCCCAAGGTACAATATCTGTGCTTGGGGGTGTAAACTAATCCTCTTTTTACTTTGTGTTTGCTCTGAACTGACTCATCCATCTTTTCCAGTCTTTGCCATTCACCCCCACCCACATGGAAATCAAACCCAGCTTTCTAAGTAGCCATTGAAATGTGCTGTTTTTTCTGCAGAATTGAAGCAGTTACCAGCCCTGTGCAGATGGGCTCCTTAATGCGTTTGAAGAAATTTGTGGAGGTAAAGCTCTTTGTTTTTAATTTTCAAGCATTTTGGTTTTAGATTTTCCCCCTTTCTTTGACAAATGCATCATTTTGATAATGAGGCTGTTGCTGCTTGCAGCATACCCCATAATTCAGACCTGTCCCTATCATGTAGCCCCTCTTTTGTAACTTTCCCATTACTGAAGTACCCTCATGGTAGTTAATAACATCAAACATCTCATTTCTTTCTTACCTTCCATCTATTTTTTTTTTTGAGAAAGCATATTTTGATTGTGAAGTTTGCAGAGAGAGGAGATGTGCAGGTCAAGGAGGATTCTGCTGAGTCATTTCTGTCACAGCTATTTTTTATCAGTGGTTTGCTGTTTTTATCTATTGTCCTGGTTAGATACACAAGGAAGTAGACACTGGGATCTGCTCTCTGTTGCATTTATTTAGCATTCTGTGCTGCATATTTTCTTTTCAAGAAAGCTTGCAAAACTGTAAAGTACTTATATTTAAATTGTTTTCTGAATAATGGCTTAGATTATGATATTAAAATATGATAGCTTCAGAGGTTTTACTTTCGTTTCAAAATTAACTTTCATATAGAATGTGTGAAATCCTGATGAGATGGCAAATTAAGATTCACGTTTCTTTTTCCTTTGTTCTTTGACTTTTTCTCTCCACTAGACATGTATGGCAGAGAAGAAAATTCCACTGCCAGCGGGTGCTCTGCAGCCTTCCTTTTGGAAATCATAAATGGGTTTATATTTCTTTCTCTCTGGGTGTCACTGCTTGCAGACCTGACTTCCTGTTTACATCCAAAGGCAAAATATATTTAGGGTGTGGAGGGATGAGGAGCAAAGAAAATATTCCATCTACCTGTTAATGTTTAATTCATAAATATTTATGCTGAGCAGAACAAACTCGTGCCTCTTCTGTTGCAAACAACTGGGAGTCATTTACTTTGGATTTTTATACATTTATTTATAGTTGTAACTACTTTTGTAACTGTGGAAAATTTAAGACTTTTCTTTCATATGTTTAGACATGGGGAAGGTGTTTTAAATACAGTATCCTGATGACCTCTGGGCGTCAGAGTTTAAAGACTCTTGAATTGAAAATTTGCACAGTGTTGTTCTGCAGACAGAAGTGAAAATACCTCACAGCTTTATTAAGTCTTAACAGAGTAATCAACCACAGAAATGTACTGTCAGAACTTTATTTTGTTATTTATTACATCTGCCTTGTACAATTCAGTTTTGCCAACATACTTACATCCTCTTTGCCTCAACATCAGAACACTACAGCGAGACTGGGAAGGGCATTTGGCTGTGCCAAACTTGACTGTTGAATGTAACTCTGCTCCACGAGGCAGCACTCCCCATTTCAGAGAGGCAGACTCCTCATTTTAAAAGGTTTGCATGGAAAATAGTAACTTCATGAGGCAAGAGCAGAGTTCCCAAAGCTACAGAAATTGTGTCCACTATCCGTCAGAAGGATGGAAGCTAATTTTCATATTAAAAAGATAGAAGAAGGAAAAAAAAGAAGGAAAAGAAGTGTCAAAATAGTACATTCCTTCTAGCACTTTTGCTGATATTCTGCCATCTTGTGAGGGGCAGTGGTATGCTCGGGTTCCCAAAGGTGTGTTTTGTAAGGACTTTTTTTATGTGAATGGATTTCTACCTTATCAGTGTTGCATTATTTTGTTTCTAGTACTGTTATACTTTTGTAGCAATGATGGGTTATTCACAGAATAGTTCATTCTAGAAATTTGTTGAAATTAATATTAAAGTTTTGGTTTTTCTTTTTAATCTGAAGCTGATGCAGTTTGCTTTTTCTGTAGAAGAAGGATGGTCAAGAAAATGTAAAGCTCCCTGGTGAATACAGGAGGTGGACAGTATGGGAGATGAGAGTGATGGGAGCCTTGTGTCATTTATGGTGCACTGTCCTTGAACTATTTTGGTGGCATCTAAGATGAAAAAATTGGCTTCCGAGTTCTAGAAGGCAGTGCAATATTTTTTCAAACTACTGTTGCAAGTGAAGGTTTTTGTTATTTTCACCAGATCATTTTTTGCTATTCCTAGAGACATCACAATCTGCAACTGTAAGAAGAGTAGAGGCCACATGAGAATCTAGGTTTGATTTTTATATAGCTCTTGAGGTTTCATGTACTTTAGAATTCAATCCTTTAAAACCTTTAACCTTGATTGGTAGATATATTTATATTTGGTGTATGTATTTGGTAAACTAGGATTCTTTAGACTAGAAATCTTCTGGTATCTTTTTACCAGGTGACACTGAAGCACTACACAGCTTCCATTAGTATACTTGAAAATGTTCAGGTTTTTTTATACTGAGTTGATATTTTTTAATCATGCAGATCTACAATTATGTTGGAGACTCGCTTAGACAATATAGTCATTGGTCATGTCTGTTAAAAACAACTGTCTGCCTGTGCCAAAACACAAGGAGGGATTTGGTGATGTGTATGTAAGATACAGCAACTTCTTTGCTGACAGGTACGAGGGTTCTCCAGCGTTTGGAGGGAGAAGAATATATATTTTTATAAATAACAAACACAGTATCCTTTTCTACCTCAGTATATGTACTATTTCAAAACCATTAACAAGAACTTCTGACTGAACAATAAGTGCACATCAAAAGAATCAATTCAATAAGCTACATCTAAAAATAAATGAGATTGCATCTACTGCTTGAACTGATGGTTGACTTGTATTGGGCTATTCTGATTTATGTTGGTTTAGCAGTTTTTAGTGGAAGCCATTTGGTGTTACAAAGATGCAGTGCAAATAAGGTCCTTATGCATGTATTCATGGTATTTTCATATGCATATTGATATCAAATAGAACAAAGGAGAGCATCTCAGATGTGAAAGTACTGTGCATTCAGGATGAGATGCTTTAAAATTGCAGTGAGTCATACTCTGCCTTGGAGACAATAGTTCCAGGCAGTCCCATGGGTTGGGATGCAGTGTCACTGCCTGTGTGCTTTTCCATTTAAGTACTTGAATAGAAGAAGGTGTTATTAACTCAGAAATCAGTCAAACCCACTCACCACTTTGAACCTGTAAAGTTAATGCTGCCTTACCAGGCCTCTCGGAAAAAAAAATTTGAAAAGATATTAGAGTAGAACTGCTTTGCCATGACTATTTTAAACATCTAGTTGATACTAAAGGCTCATTTGCCTTTGAATTTATGCATCAGCTTGTCAAAAATAGGTTTCTCTTGACAAGTGTTTGCAGCCTTTTGATGCTCCACGATTGTGCCACTGCACACTGCTCCAGAAGGACCTATTTTCAAAAGGATGTATTTTTAATAATGTAAGACTAACGAGGCTCCTGCTTTCAGCCTGCTGTGTTATTTAAATGGCGAAACCTGTCCCCCTTCTCTGCGCTGTGCCCGCGGCAGCAGCTCGGGCCTGCAGGACCACGGACCGCCCGTGGCCGGGAGCAGGGTCTGGACCCCGCTGCCGCCCTGCTGCACGGACATTTTACCCCATTCCCACGGTAACCGTGTATTTCCTCCGCGTCCGAGGCCGCTCACGGCCCCGCGACAGGGCAGCGGCCCGAGGCCAGAGTCCC